TCAGACATTCAGGAACAAACTTTTTAGTGCTGCCTCGCAGTTTTATCAACTAAATAGCTTAATCGCTCAAGAGCTACATTATCTTTCTCAACAAGGAGCTGGTAGCATCATTGTTTCTAAAGTGTATCCACAGTGAAGAGACCGAGCGTGCACATGGTTGCCAGGTTGATAAAGATAAATTGCACATTTAGCAGATATTTCTGTATTGCGCAAGTGGGAAACTCTGTTTCGGGGATTACGTCTCTTTATTTCAGGCAACCCAGTTGTGTTCCTCTGCGGCCAGATTAAACCTTGTTATAGCCTATATATTATGCTCTATTCATTATTTTTTAGAAACCTCGCAATTTTTTACTCAATTTTAAACGTTGTTCTTGTATTCAAATTAAGCGTGGTCCACTGCTGCACACGTGCCACAATATCTGTATGGATACTCGTATCTTCAAATCTCTATGACTATACGTTGTCGTATCGATGTATCGAACACAGCACTAATATATACATGCACACTCTGGGCTGGTTAGACTCGATTTAGATGTAATCATCATCCAGGAGTTATAAAATATATTAATTTTATGTGACTGATTGGGCTGTGGAAACATCTAGTTTTTCACTCTCAGAAAAAAAGGTTGAAAAGCTGTGACTGGGGTGGTACTCTTTCAAAAAGTACACCCTTGTACCTTATTTACCACCTCAAAGGTACATATTAGTAGTGAAATGGTACATACGACTAGTATCTTTTGAAAAGGTACCGCCCAAGAGACAGCTTTTGTACCTTTATTTATCCAAAAGAACGGATTACGATATTATTTAAAAATATATGTGATTTTTTTCATAATTGTGCAGCCCTACTGGGAAACAACTTGCTGACCTTGACTTCTAGTATTTTCTGGCTAGTAAAATTTTGGAAAATACAAAAATTTACTGAAAAATACACTAATAAATATACATCAAACAAGAAACAAAGTAATGTTGGTTAACTGTCTACTATTCTTAAAATATCAGTTTAAAATAAACTAATGCGCTGTCTTCTGTATCTAACGCACACACACGCTCAGTCACTCACACAGATCACGTTGCGGCCGCACTCAGACATTCAGGAACAAACTTTTTAGCGCTGCTCCGCAATTTTATCAACTAAATAGCTTAATCGCTCAAGAGCTACATTATCTTTCTCAACAAGGAGCTGGTAGCATCATTGTTTCTAAAGTGTATCCACAGTGAAGAGACCGAGCGTGCACATGGTTGCCAGGTTGATAAAGATAAATTGCACATTTAGCAGATATTTCTGTATTGCGCAAGTGGGAAACTCTGTTTCGGGGATTACGTCTCTTTATTTCAGGCAACCCAGTTGTGTTCCTCTGCGGCCAGATTAAACCTTGTTATAGCCTATATATTATGCTCTATTCATTATTTTTTAGAAACCTCGCAATTTTTTACTCAATTTTAAACGTTGTTCTTGTATTCAAATTAAGCGTGGTCCACTGCTGCACACGTGCCACAATATCGCTACAGGGACAGCTGTATCGATACTCGTATCGTCAAATCTCTGTGACAATACATCGTCGTATCAATGTATTGAACACAGCACTAACGTGCACACACCTCTACTAAAAAGCTTTGGTCGTTCTCTCGTAAACGGCTGTATGTTTCTAAGAGGCTTCGTAGCTTCTTCCACAAGCGGTTGCTTTGCTCTGTATCTTGAGGGCGCAATCTGACAAATACTTTTTTTTTTTTTGTTATTTGTTTGCTTAGGTTTCAGTTCAAAGGCTATTACAACAGTCTTTGGTGTAACAAAAAATAATAATAATATGAAGTGAAATGCAATGAAACTAGTTCTACTAATATACTAAAATCTTCAGACTGGCTTAAAGTTCCCCTATTATGCCATTTCCAATATTGCCTTTCATGCAGTGTGTAATGTAGCTGTATGTGAATGTAAACGATCTGCAAAGTTGTAAAGCTGAAAGTGTACGATAAATTAAGTTATTGTCTCCCAAAATAAAGAATCGACTCTGAACAGCTGAAATGAGTCGTTAGTAATTCGAATCCCACTTCCGTGACGGCTACACGTCACGGGGAAACACATTTGCATAATGCGCGCATTCACAAAATGTTGAAAGATGGATCAGTATCCTGTTTATTTGGACCAGCTGCTCCACTGAATCACAACCCACAACCTGTATAAATAATAGATGTTTATATTTTCTATAGAGCGTTCAAAATACAGAACTAT